CTGCTGCTGCTGCTACTAGTACCACCACCACCACGACCACCACTACTAATAATGATAACAATAATTGATAATAATAATAATAACACTGCTACTACTACTGACTGCTGCTGCTGCTGCTGCTGCTGCTACTACGACTTCTACTTCTACTACGACTGCTATCAGTACTATTGCTTATACCACTACCGCAACCGCCATCGCTACCGCTGCCTCTACTGCATGGTTCTGCTGATGCTACGACACCGATGCTGCCATCAACGCACCATGACGGCGACAGGGGATGCTACTTACTGCCGCCACCACCTCGACGTTTGCCGCTACCATCCCGCGCCGATGAGAAGTCCACAACTGCTGCCGCTGCTGCCTCGTGTGGCAAGATTGGTGCCGTACGTGGGAAAGCATGGTTTGCTTATCGCTTGGACATCCATGTGATCCTTTGACTGTGGCTCACAGGGCCCTTGAGCTCTTTGGCAGTCGGTGCTAAAGAAGCTGGTGCAGGTTTAGGGTTTGCTTGGGCTTGTGAGAAGTAAACCCGATCCCTCTAGCTCTCGCAGTACGATTACGGTTTTGTCACCGGTTCTGCCACTACTGCTCAGACTGACTACCGTCACGAGAATTGTGTTGCTTCTCCTGCTAGCAGAAAAGACGAGAGAAATTGCTCTAACTGCTCAAGCTTGGGCAAGTCATAGTTGCTGCGCTGGATCGGAGGAGCGGCTTCTACTTCGTGGCCAACCGCTGCTTGGTGAGTTAAGAGCTCCAGATAGGATCTCGCGCACATCTTCCGAAGCACAGCAGTGCACAGTATCCGCAAACTAGCACGGAACAGCGTCTAAACAATCGATGCGGCGAAGGGCCGGTCACGTACTAGTAGCAGCAGTAGTAGTAGCAGTAGTAGGCGAGGTGTCGGTTTGTTGTTGGTGCTCTTCTTCTTGGTGCTGATAGTGATGGTGGTCCGGTTTTTGTCGTCGTCGTCGTAGTTGTGATTGGTGGTTGATGTTGTTGTTGTTGGCGTTGGGGTCAGTGATGGTGTTGTTGCCACCACTGCTGCTGCTGCTGCTACTGCTGCTGCTGCTGCTACTGCTGCTGCTGCTGCTGCTGCTGCCACTGCTGCTGCCACTGCTGCTGCTGCTGCTGGGGGCGGTGGCGGTGGTGGTGGTGGTGTTGCCGTTGCCGTTGCCGCTGTTGTTGTTGTTGTTGTCGTTGTCGTTGTCGTTGTCGTTGTCGTTGTTGCTGTTGCTGTTGCTGTTGCTGTTGCTGTTGCTGTTGCTGCTGTTGTTGTTGTTGTTGTTGCTGTTGTTGTTGTTGCTGCTGATGGTGGTGGTGGTGGTGTCGTAGTTGTCGTTGTTGCCGTTGTGGTGGTGGGGTGGTGGGGTGGTAGCAACGGTAGTAATGGCGGTGTGTCGCCTTCAGGATCCAACTGCCAGATCATTTGGGAAACTGACGAGTTCAAATGGCAGAGGCTCGGAGGGGCTGCCACGCATGCCAGAAGCTCTTACACGGGGCGCACTTGGCTTGAAGACTCGTCGGTGTGATGATTTGTCGCAGGTTCACCTCCATTCCCTCCTCCATGTGGTATGTCATGATCAATCTGCTGAAAGAGCACCCCTTGGCCGAGTTTCACGCGGCCCGGTGTAAGCGTCAGCGAAGAGCTAGGAGGTGAAGGGAACCCACTGTGCATACTCACTGGCTCCAAGGAGACTCTGTTGTCGCGGACACTTGCGCTTGGCTTACTCTGTTTAGTGTGGGGATGACGGCATGATTCTTTGCATGTTGCTTCTCAGCAACAGTGTGGCCGGTGCAGCTTGGCGGCTGCAGAGTCCGATTCCAATGTTGCAAACCATGCTCGCATTCTAAGATGTCGTGCAAAGAAGGGGGCCACCTTTCCCTTTTGAGTTTGGGGATCATCCTCACTAGTTTTCCTGTACCTGAATCTGTGAACCAAGTCCGTGCTTTTGCTGTACAATGGTCCGATGCGCACGTAGCCCGCCAATCTTTGTTCCGAGGGTGAGCATTCTGCGCTTCGGCAGGATGCTGTCTTTGCTTGAGGTGTGCATTTGCTGTATCTTCGCCATGCCGCTTTTCGCACTGCCTTCTAGCTTCTGAGCAGCACCCAGTTGATGTCACATGATTCTCGGCACCTTTCCTGGGAATGAATACCAAGACGCCTGCCCCAAAAAAGCAAGAGTCTTCTACAAATTTCTACAAGACACGTCGGGGACGCTGAGACGGCACCAGCAAACATCATACCAACACCGGATCTTTTCAGACTTGCAGCGTCTCTTGTCTTCCTTGATCGGATCACGGGCTTGAGCGCAGCCGATCGAGGCATCCTGCAGTGTTCCCTGTTCGATGCCGACCAGAAGGACGATGCTGAGGAGGCTCTACTGTACATTGAAGTCTTCGTTTGAGTCACGAGTTCTCTGGACTCAAGCCAGTTTCCTATAAGATATCAACAGCTTATCTTGTAGGCAATCTGAGCTCTTCTGCGTTTGGGCTCTGGGCACTGTGACGGCTACGCTGAGTACTTGCAGCGGCATTGGACATTTCTGGGTCCTGCTGGCCATGGAAAGGTAGCAAGAGCTGGCGATGCCGCGCACACGAGGCGGATGACATACCAGGTCCGCTCCCAAGGAGAGCAGCTGCTCCGACAAAAGGGGTGTAATTCCCCTTAGGCCTTCGGTATAAGATTGAACCAGACCAAGCAAGAAAACAAGGTTAAGCCGCAGAACGAAAGAGGTGAAGCGTTCATATCCCGTCTTACACATGCTTACGGCTTTGGGCTTCGGAGTTTGGAACTTTGGGTGCATGCACATCCCATGGCACTCTTCTTAACTACACAGGACAGGTGCTGCGCACGTTAGGGCCTCGAGGCTCAGACCAAAGCACCGACCGAAGACCTCCTCCGCTCTACCGGCGTCCATTAGCGCAACTTCCCCTCCAAACTTCCAAGCCTGAAGGCCAAGCCTGAAAGAGCTTCAGCTGATGGTCCATGGCCCTTGCACAAGATTCCGAAGTATGCCACAGAACCTCACACCCGTCCCACACTGGAAGGCTAAGGCCGGACTTCGAGGCGCACAATCCCTGAATCCACGCGTTCAATTGGCCACTAAACCAACGGCATGCCACTCGGGGCCCCTGGTGTGTGGTTTCGCTACGGGGAACGGCAGCAACAAACTTGCAAGCCCCAGGCCCCAAACCCAAGCTACGGCTCAGGCCGATGCCGCCCAGCTGTTGGAGCTCCAGGCCCTCCGGGCCGTGCCGTAAAGGATGAGACTTTGCACAACCACATGATCATCCTGACCATCAAAGCATATCTTCCCCGACAGCAGCAGCACACCACCTTCACCTTCGTCGTCATCTTGAATGGTCATGGCAGTACAAGACGCTGCCATCAGATTGAGAATGAGAGTCACATGTACCATCCCGAGATCAGATGAGCCGTCCCGTGTCATTTCCCTATAATTCCAGGCAGCAGCTTGCCCTCTGCCGAAGCTTTTTCCCGCCGTCCCAGGCAGAATCGCAGCAGAAGATGCGGCCGGGCTTCGCTCCCTGGCACTTCTGTCGATAGTCAAGCGGGTTGGTTTAATTTAGGGTTGCTCCAAGGTGCCTCCAATTATACTACCGCAAGAGGTCGCAATGTAGAGCAACCCTGTGTGAATTGCGCTCTGTCACGTTCTTGGGCACTGGAGGCAATCCCCTGGACGTTGAAGGGTGCTTTGCCGTGCCGCGCTACTCTACAACACTCATGTGTCATGTGGCTCAGGCCACTACAATTTTGGTTTTCGGCCAGGGACTCAGCCGGCTTCGCAGCACGCAAGGGCCTCGATGCGGTTTCGTTCCGACAGGGAAGGGGGTCGAGTCCTTGCGGGCGTTCAGATGCTATAAGTTGAGTACGTGAAGGTCGGGGCTGAAGGGTCTCACGCTTCTCTGAAATCGAAGACACATCTGAGAAGGCAAGCTCGCCCGCTTGGTTCTTCGAGATACGCGTGAGTCGCACATGTGGCCGTCGTCGAAGACACCACTCACCACTGAAGCGGGCTCCAAGGATCCATCTTGGCTTACTTCTACTACACAGCCAGAGACACCGACCATGCGACCTTCTTCACAGTGCCTGCTGCTCAAGCTTGAGCTATCTCAGAGCATACGAAGTGTAAAGACGTCTTGGCGGGAGCTTGATTGCCGGAGTGAGCCAAGCCCAGCATCAACAAAGAGTAGCACAGCTACCGCTTAGTAGTCAGGACTCCTCCATAACCCGACCCCCCTACGTCGCCCTCGTGGTTTTGGACTTGCTAGCCTCTGCTCGAATCCGAAGCGACTTGGCTCGGCCGCAAGCGGCAGGTGCCGGTCCACGTTTCAAAGACAACTCTCGCATACATCGACGGGACGGTTGCCATCTGCTTCCTCTGCGAATACGTGTCCTGTCAGAAGCGAACTTGAGAGCTGGCAGAATCATGCTTGCATGTGCGTCGGAGGGCTTGCGTGAAGTTCAGCGACAGTTTCCCATTTGCCACCAAAGACACGAGCCTGCGTGGCGAGCTAAGCAGTAGCCATGCCCAGAGCATAGGTGAAAAGGTCCATCCGGATGACAGCGACACGATAAGTTCTCCCCCAAAGCATAAAGTCGGGACTTGCTGATGTCATAAAGGCCAGCAGGATGAGCGTCGGGGGCGGCTCTTACATCACCTCGGGGCCACCCGGGCGGATATGAGAGGGAAAGAGGGAGAGGGGGTGCTGCTGGAAATCAAGTGCCGCACAGCCGCACAGTCTGCAAGTGTTCCTCAACACGCTCTACCCGAAAGTCCCAAACCCCATGCCCGAAAACCCTAACTCAGGTATGGACTGGTCGATCTATTGGCTTGGCTACCAGGCAGGATGCCCAATTTAGAGCGATGCTGCCAAACCGCATTTGTTTTCTGTCTCTGTGTGTGCGTGTGTGTGTGTGTGTGCTCGGGAGGCGATGTGTACATGTGAATCTTTGCGTGCTGCAACCGCGAGAGACATGAACTCTGGAACCCAACAGCACATCCGCACAGACCCTCAAAGAACTACATCACGACTGAAATACGGGATAACTCAGCCAGGTGTTCCTCTGGAGACAAGCGATAGCCGATAGGACGTGCAGCTCCAGACATAGCCAGGCTTGCTGCACCTTTGCACCTATGAGTCTATGGGAGAGCACCACCACGAGATCCTTTGCGCTGCTTGTGCCACGTGGATGAACCGAAGTGTCAGTCTGCTTTGTTGCGGATTTGCATGGTGCGGAGGCATTGTTGTCTAGCTTCCAGGGAAGAGCTCGAGGGAAGGAGCCAGGCCATTGAGGTCCCCCTTGCATTCCAGAGATCAGAGAGTCAAAGCTACAGCAAGCTTTGCCTGCTGAGGTGCAGTGTGCGCTTTTCACACAACGCATGAAAGCCTCCCTTGCCCAGAAGGACAAAGCCCAATGGCCTAATGTCTTGCTGCGCAGCCGTTGTGGCTGCTGGAAAGATACCGAAGCCAATGCATTCAGAAGACCGGAAGTGAGTCAAGCTTGACATAAGTTCGTTCTGCAGCACAATACACGCTGAAAAGATTGTTTCCCCACAGATTGCTCCGTCGAGATCCTAGTCGTACAATCTTCTAGCCTGTTTTCCCGACGCGAAAATCGCTGCCGTACTGGCCACACAGAAAACGAACCACTACTCGACCGGACTTGTCAGCCCGTCAACTTTTGCTCTCTATTCTTGTCCTTTTTCGTTCTGAGCCTTCGGACACAGAGTCTCAGGTTCTGCGAATCTTCAAACTGGAGCGGTACCTGCATTCCTTCCGAGACATGCTGGACATTGTGAAGGAGCTGCTGATAGTTCGGGGGTGGAGGTTTCATCTAATGCAGAGGAGTGTATGATTATTGCTCATATGCATTCTTGCTTCATGTATTGCGGTATGAGTGCATGAATGGATGTATGAATGACCGACGAAATAAATGAAATGCATGAACGGAATGGGTGAATGGAAGATGGAATGGAATGGATGGATGAATGATTGAAGGAAAGGAATGCACAAATACATAAACGAAGGAAGGAATGAACGCACGAATGAATGAACAGATCTGTGCTGGAATGAAAATGAATTAAGGAATGAAATAAGGAAGGAAGGAAGGAAGGAAGGAAGGACGGCAGGAAGGAAGGAATTAATAAATGAACGAATCAGTGTTTGAATGAATAAGTTTGTGAGAATCAGCTGATGAAGGAAGGAAGGAGGGAAGGAAGCAAGGAAGCAAGGAAGGAAGGAAGGAAGGCAGGAACGAATGAACAAATGAATATCGAATCAATAACGAGTCAATAACATGTATCAAGAACAACATGAATGTATGAATGCAGGCCTGCCTGCCTCCCTCACTCACGAAAGGAGGGAAGCAAGGAAGGAGGGAAATGAAATGAAATGAACAAAAGTATGCAGGCATGTTTGTTTTGTAAGAAATGTATGAACTGCATGTATATGCAACAATGACCAGATGTGGTTCTGTGCGCATATGCGCATCAAGAAAGTATGTACTGCTATTTCCCTGCTTTGTCCTGCTGCGGCTGTTTCTACTCTCGCCACTGCTGCCACCACCACTCCTGCGGCTGCTCCTACTGCTGCTGCTACTACTACTACTGCCACTACTACTGCTACTGCTACTGCTGCTACAACTACTACTACCACCACCACTACTACTACTACTACCACCGCCGCCGCGGCTGCTGCTGCTGCTGCTGCTGCTCCTGCTGCTCCTACTGCTACTACTACTACTACTACTACCACCACTACTACTACTACTACTACTACTACTGATGCCACTACTACAACTACCAGCACCACCACCACCCACTTATACTACCCATGCTATGTATGCTACCTATACTACCTATGCTACCTACTAGTGCTGCTGCTGCTACTGCTTCTGCTTCCGCTTCTGCTGCTGCTTCTGCTTCGGCTTCTAGGACGACGAAGCCGAACGACTACTACCACTACCACTATCGATCTCGATAATGCACAGAGTAACTTCTGAGGGGTGCGTGAAAGGATCCAGGGACAGAGTTTTAGGCATTCTAGGTTCTAGGGAGGCTACGGCGAAGCTTCGGAATACGAGAAGCAGAGGTTGCAGTCTCGAAGCTGGGCAGGAAAACGGCGGGATCCTGGGGGCGACGCTAGTTACCTGGCTGCGGATTCATGATTGGGTAGCATAATTGACAGGTATCATGGCTGAAAGCAGTGGTCTTCACGGCATGCTAGAATGCTTGTTGTCATCACCGGTGAGAGGGCTCTGCACTAAAGCACCTGTTCCTACTCCGCTTGAAGAAGCCCCAGGCCCTTAGAACTTGTTTTGCGCAGCAAAGGTACTGTCCATGTTTCTATGGATGTTCTTCTCAACCATGCTCTTCCTGACAGAGAAGGCCCCGGTTGGCGCGCGCACTTTGATGCGCACTGAGAGCAAAGTGTTTCGACGATTCAAGTTAAGTTGAGCATTGCCCGAGAAGGAATATAGTGAATCCGCCAGATCTGAGACCTTAAGCCCCGAAGTCCAGAGCTGTTCGTGCGCCTGGTCTTTTAAATTTCGCGAGCCGTGTGCAGCACAACCCCGACGACGAGATGAATGATGAAGTGTACGGCTCTGTGATGCGGTCTCTCTGGTCCGAGATTATCAATCTGCCGCTCGAATGCATTGAGTCACTCGCTGTACTGTATGCTTATCTTGGGATGCGGTTGAGTCAGGCATCAAAAATGGTTTGATGCGTTGCGATGCCACTGGTTGCGTCTTGCCCGTGTGCTCGCGAAGTCGAGTCTTCTTGAGGTATGACGGGTCGCATGTGATGTTTTGCAGTTGGCAGGCTCTTGTTGACGATGGCCTTGGACATTTAGACAGCTGTGTTTCCATAAAACCTGATGTGCCTGAAGAACAGCAAGTCCATGGACACAGCAGAACATGCGCAAGTTTGCCGTGTTGAGATCCAACAAGTTGATCTCTTCATCCGTTTTTCGGACGAACCGACAACCTGGAAGAGGACAAGGCAGTAGAGGCCAGGGCTGAGCTCTTCACACATCAATGTGAATACTTTCCCCTTTCCCGATGTGTGAAGAGCTCAGTCCTATGTCTGAAAACACGAGATCGATTGAGCCTGAGGCCGCAGAGCCTTAGAGGTACTAGAGGAATGGCGAAATGCGATTCTTTAGGGTGGTGGAGTGGCACAAATGCTGCCGCATCTGAAGTCTAGGAATGCCGAAATGGTTGAACCCTATTTTAAACTGGCCCTAAACCCTGACTGTACTTCGAAACAGCACTGAGTACAGTATTAATTGAACAAGCACACTGAACGTAGTGAGCTCATCTAAGGCACGGCGAGTGGCCTTGGGCCGACTACACTCCGATGGGCAAGGCAGGAGTGGGAGTAGCGGCGGTGATGGCCGGGGTCGGGCCGGTTGAAACTGCTATGCCCAAAAATCCTAACATGCCTGTCCGATCCATGGGGGGTCAGTTTAGCAGCCGACGCAATTTCAGAGCAAGGCTGCGGTTTTGCAGCGCATCTTGGTGGTTCCTTCGCGCAGGCCGTTGGCACTGTAATCGGCCTGTTCAGCATCATGCTGTTCTGCATTCCAATTGGTATCTTTGGCGAAGGCGGAATGCAGAATGCAACAGTCTAGGTGAGGCTCCCACTCCTTTGCCCCCGGATGCGATTAAGATATGCGTATCAGGATCTAGCCACATAGAAGTTGTGCCCATGACAGGCAAGACTGCTGGAAGCGTTCTGTTGTGCATCCCATGGATCTTCACAGCAGCTTCCACACCGTGATATCCAGTAGATGAGCGATGTTAATGAGCTTCAGCGGTTTGCAGGCACGCCGGTTGGTGTTGGCCTTCTCATTCCAAGCTGTTGCAGCAAGGTTCTGCCTTGAAAGATGGTTCGAATGCATCCGATCCCGAAGCTTACCGCAGGTTTCATGGAAAGAGTCCGGGCGGACAGGGAACTCTCGACCGAAGTTCCCTGGCCGACTAAACGTGAAGCTTGTGTACTTCTGTGCACTCCTCGAAGTGAAGCCCTCCCAGGATGACGACTTTGACAGAAGGCCGTGGCAGGACGGGAAGTTAGAGCCCAAAGCTAGACCTGGAGTCTTCCAGATGTCCTTGGCTTGGTCGGGTCCGCAGATCGTTTCCTAATGCGGTAGTCTAAAATTTTGGATTGCGCAGAGTCAGGCGAAGAGATGGAGTTCCTGATTCACAAGGTTTCCCTCATATCTTTGCGGCGGTTTGGCAGACTCTGGTCGCGTCTATCCATGCACAGACAAAAAGACGTATGTAGACACCGCCACTGCGACAAATTGCCTTTTCGGTACAGTCGGGTTTGGCGATGTTCCCCAGCCACGGCAGAATTGCTAGAGCGAGAGTTGCTGTGGACAGGAGTGCTGCCGTCCAGAACCGGGGATGCGGCAGAAGGCAAGCGTTCAAGTGTGCTCGAAGATATGCAGCAGAGGTGCGTTGAAGAAGACATACGCCGTGCAGATTCCGAGATAGTGTGTCTCACTTTCCCTGGCGATGGATCTCTGACCACAAGCCGAAAAAGATCTCATGCAGACTGTACAAGACGCAACATCAGTAACATCATCCTATCGTAATCATACAGCTCGCTATCGTTCACCAAATCCTGTACAACCGCACTTATGGCCACACCTTGTGTTGAGAATTGCTTGCATGCGATTTTGGGTTAGGCCTCTTATGCCAGGGACTTGAAAACATGTCATTCACGCTTGGTCGTCATGCGGTTGAGAGGTCTACGACATGCTGTATGAGGATCTTCATCCGAACATCTATCGGACTCCTACGTCCGTTGCTCAGACTGATCTCGCAGAGAGCCGGATGTCCAGAATGCAAAGCTACATAATGCAAGACCAAAACAACATCCTGTAAACTTGTGTGGGTAAACATTACCCATTTGCTTAACTTGCTAAGGGATTGCTTTGCTATCGGGACTGATTTGCCGATAGGTCCTCGTAACAAGATCGTCCAGCATTCACTAGCAGTCAGCAACTGGTGACATACTTGGCCTGTTCCGCACATACACACCGACACAAGGCGAAAACCCAGCACTTCCAAAAGCAGAAATGGAATGGCAATGGCCCCGGAAAAACCGCGGAAGTCACGCCTGGGTTTCAAGTAGGTTGTCGTGTCCCAGGATGCTCTTCCGCACGTTGCGAGCCTGCTCCGTGGTGATGCTTGCCTATCCAAAGGAATTCGGTCGCTGTGATTCAGATCTGTTGGTGACAATCATAAGTTACATAAACTGCACTCAGGTTTGGTTGAGGCCAGTATATCTAGTTTTCCGTCAGTAGTCCGTTTTGTTCTGTATGTCCTTGCGTTTTGAGGTCAGGCATGCTCGCTTCTGTGTTTTCTATGTGCACGCACATGTATTGTACATAAATATACTTGCGTATGTACGTGCTTATGCATATAATATACCTCGGTACCTGATAGTCTGGTTTGTCGTTAATTACCAACAAAATCGCCGGCCCTCGCAGCAAGCTGATGGTATAAAGCAGAAGTTTGAAGAGGCCTGGAGTGTCTGCATCCTACACGCGTAAAGCCATAGGATGGTGGTCGCCACCACATTCATCACTGCCGTGGCCACCGTGGAGGATTGGGGTGGATGGAAAGGAAGATGCCGGTCTGAAGACTTGGGCCTTAGAATTTACGTTGTTCGCCTATAAAAGCCTTGCAGTGGGCTTCAATAATACGGATTCATCGAGGCACCTGATCTGCACTTTCGACTCAAGATTCTCTCAACTCGGGACCTCTTTGCGTGGGTTCTCGTGTTGCTCATTCTGATTTGATTTTGATGATGATGGTGACGATGATGATGATGATGATGATGAGCACAGTACTTGTTGTAGTTTCATGGGCTGGGACTTTGAGATGCTTACGCTGCTTACGCCCTCGCTGAAAGGTGCCAAACTGAAGGGGAGAGACACAGAACTTGGATGTTTGAGGAGGAATCCCCACCACCTTAGACCCTCAACTCTGCCTCAAACCGTGCTCAGTCTTCTCCCCACTGCCCGGTCGGCGAAGGCTACAACGAAATCCTATCACAAGCACAAACTCACTTCACTCCTGTGATCGCTAACCTCTCGCAAACGTCTCACCGATGTGTTCTCTACCTGTACAGTAGAGTATCAAAGTTCTGGCCTGGATGCATACCTGAAGTGACGCCTTGCTACCGAAAAGGCAAGGACATTATGACTTCGTTCCGAAGCAAAACTCAATCACCTCATGCTTTGTTCGTGGGAGCACGGGCTTGGCTAAGGAGATACAACTACAGACGTCGGCAAGATCTTCTGGGTGGCCCCTTGCACAGAAGACGGTGCCGAAGCCTGTTTTTTTCCATAACGCGCTGGGCCTCCCACAGAATCGAAAATGCCTTGCTAAGAAAAAGGACGTTCGAAAAAAGCAGGTTCTTTGATGAGGGGCTCATGTTTCGGGAGAATGGAATACACCCGCTGTTCATGACATCTGGAAAGTATGTCCAACCCAGCCTCGAGCCCAAGGTTGATGTCCTGGCCACCGTGTGCGGACCTCACCCACACGCACTGAAGTGCAAGATCTTCATGTACATGTCGCTGGAAGTTGTTTTGCGTGAAGAGACTCTAAGCGATCTGTCTTCGTCGCCTGAACCGTGAACGACTGGAAATGCCGATGCACGTCATCAAATCGTTCCTGCTGCTGAGATGGTTCATCTTGGAATACATCTTGCGAATTGTGGCTACCGGCTGGCGGCATCCAGTCTCCCTCGTTGGCCTTTGCGACACTCCTCTGAACTTGCAGCCCACCTGCGAGGCCCTGCATAAGCAAATGTCGACGTTTCTACTAGATAAACACAAGCCAAACGCTGTATCCGAGGCTCGAACGTCTGGGTGTAGTGGGCATTGTGCGCGGTATACTGGGAGTCTACAGCTTACTGTTCCTCATAATATGGTGCTATGTTACACTCCTAGTCACTGCATGCGGTTGTCTCATCCTGAATTGTGCGATCTGGTCTTCGTTCGTGCATCTGCGATATTGCTGCCTCGACTGTGGATGACTGGTGTACCAAAATTACATACAAGTATGTTCTAAAGTACGGCACTGAAGATGTGAGCAAAGCAAAGCGCTGTGCCGAAGCTGTGTCATCTTCCTTTGTTGTTCTATAGCTTGATCTGTAGCCAGTGCCTGCCTCAGGACTTGATCTCCATCGCTGCCTTCGCATATACTTTGGATCCGAAAACGCGGCCAGAAGCTTTCCGGCCAGGCGATCTCCAGGGTCGGAAGTGGCACCAGCTCGTTGTTGTACAATCGGACCACCATAAGAACGGAAAGGGTTTCTTGCAAAACATGAGAAATACATGTAGATAAGTAGTCACAAGAGATGGCCAAAGCCGACATTCCGCGTCATGTGCTTCCCTCCTTTGTTTTCCCGGGACCACATCATGCGCTGAGCATTCCGAGACCCGAAAACGTGACGTCTGCGGCTCATTACGGCGCCAACTGCGCACCTAGTGGGCGGACGGATAAAAGGCGGACCTGGCACGCAGGCTATCAAGACACGCATTACCTGATCGACAGCGTCGTGCTGCTGCGACTGCTGCGCGTCTTCAGCCTTGCGCCTTGTCTTCGGAGCACTCAACGGGACTACTTAACCGCCTTTCCTTTGCTCCCCAAGGAAAGCTATTTTTACGCCATGCACACTCTGCGGTGTGTGAGCAGCCCTCAGTTCAACTGATTTGCTCATGCTGCATTTCGGGTCCCTACACGTTTCGAGAGTCGGTGACTCAGGCTTTGGCTGAACAAGTGGCCACTGGCTAGAGCTGGTGGTGCACTCGTCTCGATCTGGTTTGTGCATGCCACGCTGCTTCTGAGCAGCATGACCGTAGTCGGGCTATCAAGCAGAGATGGACAAGATTAGCTGGAGCGGGTCTCCACAAAGTAATGCCTAGCAGGTGGAAAAACGCGTGAATGTCAGGCCATAGTCCATAGTAAGCTACTGCTTGGTGATGCCGATGCCGAAATGATACCTAGATGATGGGAGCCGTGGTTTTCGTTTGCTTTCTCACAGTATCGGGGGGTAAAATCCCCGCTTCTTCATCACATCAGGGGAGCCACAGGCGAAATGTTGCAGGGTAGGTGCCTGTCGCCCTCTTGATGCAGCAACCCGTGCTGTTTTGCAGGCTGTTGTACGCTTGGTACACTTAGGAAATCGAAACAGCATTCCTCTTACCAATTTCTGTTTGTCGACGCGCGCGCTTCTGATTGTCCAGTGTTGTAGAAATCCTGCATGTGCTCCGAAGCTCTTTGTGCACTTGCTGTTGCATGACCTCTCAAGGCCTTTAGCCGATACTCTGTGCTACGCGCATATGGAAAAGGAGCTTTGGCTGTGCACTTCCTCTTTTGGTCGTCGTGCGGTCTGCTTCTACAGCGGCACCGGAGCCTGAGCGGGCAAGGGGGCCTCTTTCTTCGCTGCGCAACTCCGGCTTTTGCGGCTGTGGCTGGCGCTTTTGTTTTCTACCTGTTCCAGGCCTTGGCCCTCTACAACCTGATTCTCCGGAAGTTCGAGGCCTGCGGCTTTGGGCGGACGGGGTTGCTTCAGGACTTTGAGGCGGGCCTCTTCTGTGTCACTGCTCTGGTGAGTGAATTCGAGGCCCTGGTACTTGAGAGATGGCAGATGTGAAGGACGAGGGCCAGGGGGCTTGGGCTAAGGTCCCTACCTGGGACGGATCGCCGCTTACGTGGCGCTCCTTTCGTCGAGAAATGAGCTGGTGGATAAGCAGCCTGGACCTGGAGACCACTCGAAAGTACAACTTGGCGGCGAGGTGGCTGCTTCGACAAAGCGGCATCGTGAGGCAGCGTGGGGAGGAATTTGATCCAGATGAGCTCCAGTATAAGAAAGCCACG